ATTGATCAGAAGTAATCTTTTGTCAGGAAGGCAAAAATCTGGACAGCCCCTCATGAAAAGAAGGAACAGGCGAGCTGTCCTGAATGATCAGTCAGAAGCAAGGTTTTGTTGCCTGTGTAGGCTCTCTAGAAGACTGGTGTTGAGTTTGTCCAGTATTAGGTCTTGGTACAGATCTACAACGAGTTTGCTGATTAGGTTGCGTGAAGGACCTTTGTATAAGATAATGCCAGTGTTGGTAATATGGTTGTTGGGATCCTTGGTATAATGAATGATATCTCAGTTGATATCCTCGTTGTTGTTGAGGAGGTTGTGATTATGTTATTCTGAATGACCAGGCCATCTGTTTATTCTTTTTTATTTGCTGCTGAAATTCATCTGTTTTTGTTGAAAAAAGGGATGTGCCTTCAAATGGTAGGTCCTCAACCCTGGTACATGTCTTTGGTGATAGTGCGGTAGACTTCAACCACACGTGTCTTCTCAATATTATGGAAGATGCTATGGCATGTGTTTGCAGCGTGCTTGCTTGCACTGAGTTGCTGTTTGGATAGTTTCAATGTTTCTGTTTGGATGACCTTAGCTAGGGTCTTTTGATTGTCTTGTAGTTGGTCAAAAAACAGGGCAGTTTTCTCCCACAAGAGACAGCCATAATGGCTTGATAGTTCACTATTCTTAAATGAGGATGATGCATATGCCCCTCTGCTCACCACATCCATCTTCCTTCCTTTCTTGTTGGCTGGGGTGGAGTGTGATCCAACCCTATGCTTATCTTGCATCTCCTCAGCAATTAAAAATGATGGGGCTGGGTGTGTGAAGAGAAAAGGGCAGTTATCTGACAGCACCTTATACATGTTCTCTATTTTCCTGGACATGGCTGGAATGGAAAAAGACTTTTCCCAGATTGCTTTGGCCATGTTCACATTCCCCTCAATGAGAGGGAAGGCTATGGATCCAGGTTTATCTGAATAGAGCCTGCCAAGGATCTTGTCCTTGGGTTTTGTTTCTTAGGTGAGACTTGTATTTGTAGCTATTGTGCCATGCAGATAATTTGTTCTGCATAGAGACGCAAGTCTTCATTTGGGGAGATCGGTTCACAGTCACCAACTGTATTGTCTGGAGAAGGCTCAGATGGTAACCCCGACCTGGCCACGGATCCATGCTTATCCTCAGTTTCTGAACCATATGTGATCAGTTCCTGTCTAAGCACCCAGTAGTCTGGAGTCTAAGATTGTTCCCCTATCTGAATCATCAGTTCTGTTCTTGTTTCTAAAGGTTCAGACCATTCAGATTGGTTGTAATCAGGGTAGCACCAGGGTTGTTGGTGTTGCTGCCAGGAGCAGCTGATTTGGATGACTGTGTCAGCAGTAATTCACAGATTGAAGGTAATCTTGATGGGCAGAACTGCGCTAGAGAAGGAGTGCAGGGTGTAACACTCTTGCTCAGATCTCTAGGCCCACCTGTAGAGTTATTTTTGTGTTCTGATGCCTTCGGTTCCGGGTGCTTCACCGTATCCATAGTATGAGGACATTGAGACTTGGTCTTAGATTTAGACCTGTGTTTTTAGAGGGCCATTCCAAAGAAGATCTGTCCGGAGCTAAACCCATTGTTTGGAACATTTGTGGGTAGGATTTGAACACAGAACAGAAGAGATGGAAGCCACCAATGGGGTTTGAAACCTGTGGTTGGAATGTGGTTTGTCAAAAGAAGCCTTAGGCTGTATAACCAAGGCAGATGACTAAGCTCCCAGGTCAGCTTTCTCCCATAAGGAGGCTTTCAGCCTGGAGGCTTGGTCAGCCCTTGCTTTGGGGATAAAGTTCTGGCAGATGGAACATGCTGCAACATTATGCTCTTTGCCCAAACAAAGTAAACAGTTTTTGGCATTTTTGTGGATCACAACAAACACTTTTTGAACAACAGCATACCGTGAAGATCCTGAAGAGAAGTAGAAAAAATACTTTGGGAGCTAGCTGACAAACCATTCTTCTCCAGCAACAGCAAAGAGAGAACTGAGGGAGTGTGTAGAGCCCCTCCCCAGAGCACTTGACTGTTTAGGCGGGAAACTGCTCTGCTGGCTCTGTTTTGGAGGGGCTCCTCCTGCTCCGTTGCAATGCTAGCTACAAAACTTCCGGCAGCTGGCCTGCGCAGTACCCATGTGAGACTGCACAGTACAATGATGATGAACAATGCATACATCCTAGGTGGGTGGATTCACTGCCAAATAACATGGGGAGAAGACTGGCTGGCAAACTGTCCTTCCGAAACCTTTATCAGCAGACACACAATGTCTAGTTTCTAATGGTGCACAAATGTAGAAACTAAGGCCCATAGTTTTGCCCTTCAAATTTATTCTGAAAGTGGCCAGTGTTATACCTCTTGTTGCAGAATGTATTGCTAACCTAGAAAAATGCTGATGCTGGAGGAATAGGTCCCTCAATAGCTGCTAGCCATGGTTAGTAAAGGGAACCTCCTTGTCCAGAGGAAATAAACCTCTGAAACCCAGTGCTAGGAGGCCTTGGCCTCTCTGCCCTGTTTGTTGGCCCTCTGGGGCAACTGTTTGGCTGATGTGTAAGACAGGATGTGGACTAGCTGGACCACTGGTCCAGACTAGCAGGCCTCTTATGTTGTGATCTCATCGGCCAGAGAAATCAGTGACATGATCTATATTGTGAATGTTGCTTTTGGCAGCCACTAGATAGGCCACTTTGAGGGACAAGTTGTACAGAAGCTTAGTACGGGTGGCTCAAAGGATGCTTTACTGAGAGGTTTCAGGACTTTGTGAATATCTCAGGAAGGATATCTATGAACTGGAGGTATCTAGAGAAGAGAAGCACCAAGCAGAAAGCTTTCTATGTGTGGAGGTGGTAAAAGAGACTTGAAGGCCAGGAGTTGCAACCTGGATCTTTAAAATGTTTGATTCAGACCAAACAACAGGAAAGTTAATGCTACTCTGGTACCAGCAGGCTGATATGTAATGCTCTCACAATACCAATGGATAAATGCTCTTTTGGTTATTAAACAGAAAAAAATTGTAGAATGTCTATGTAAAGCTAAGATGGTATCAGTGACTTGCAATACACTGTTCTAGCAGTCTCTGCTGAACCTCCTGAATCAGAATGAAGAATAGGGTCCTGTTGTAGAAGTTTGTGGAATGAGGTGGAGGAAGAAGTGTAACTATATGCTTGTATTGTTTCTGTCTTCTCACTGTTTTGACTAATTCTAAGCCAGGATTACTTACTAGGATTCTGTTTATCCATTCTCTGAAAGGATGGAAAGAGGCATCCATAATAAGAGGTGGAGAGCTTGCTGATTATAGGTGTCCTGAGAAAACATGGGTCTCTTTTCTACCTTCTGAGGGAGCTCTCAGATAGAAGCTGCTGGTTCAAGCCAGGAGAATGAACCCATTGATTGATATATATGGTAATGATAACAGAGCAGGGGGAAATGCCTGTTCCTGAACAGGTAAGATTAATATTTATCCTGTTCCCAGCCTGGGGATCTGCATACCTTAAAAACCGTCTCTCCCCACATGACTCTGTGTGGCAGCAGCACTCATCCCAGCAAATTTTGTTAGTGGGACATACTGCAGAGCTCTGAAGTCTGACACAGCCTAATTACTTATTTATTTATTTTGTTAGACTTATATCCCTCCCTCCCCATGTAGGCTCAGGGCTGGTACCAACATATATGTCTACAATAATGCAGATTTACAATTAAAACTGTTCATAATTTACAGTTAAGTCTGCAATTAGAGTAGATTTACAATAAAACACATTTTAATAATCCAATTAAAATCAATAAAAGCACCTTAAACTAAGACAATAACATCCCTCAACAGATAGTATTGTGGTCTTGCCCGGCTTCTGGGGACTGCAGTCACTGAAGGGGAGGTCAGATCAAATGGATGCCCACTGCCTCAAATAACTTAGTGGATTTTGTGTGTGTGGCTGTGTCAATGCTGTGGAATAGCTTGCTGGAACCCATGAGGAAAATCTCCACCCTCCTGCTATTTAGAAAACAGTTTAAAACTGAATTGTTCAAGAGAGCTTTTAAGGTTACTCAGATGTGGCTGTCATTCTGTTAACATACTGTAAAAAGTTAATGTAGTTTTAATGGTATATTGTTATTTTAAATATATACTGCTTGCTTTTTAATCTTGTCGTAAGCTACCCTGGATCCATGTTTAGAAGAGGAAAGGTGGGATAAACATTTTGAATAACAGATATTTGCCTTTGTCTTCCTGCTTTGTAGCAACAGTGGCTACAACAATTGTTGAGGTGGCCTTCCAGAACAGTTCTTGGCACACTGCTCTTTGTTGGAGGACTCCTGCTGCTCTGCTTCCTGTTCCTAGCACTGGCTTATGGCTGCAAGGCTACAAAGAGGTTATCAAGGCCTCAAGAGGACACTTGGGTACACTGCTGTGCACCTCAAGAGTATGCCAGCCAGTTGTTCATGCTGTAAGACATTGCTCTCCTCATCTTAGAGCAAGGAACTTTGAGGCTGGTAGTAGGCATGTTATGTGCCTTAAGCTATACCTCTCCAATAAGGCAGGCTGCTGACATCTTCAAAGGATAATGCTGCGTGAGCCACTCTTAGCAAGCAGAGTGGATGGATCAGCTAGGAGTATGCTGAAATAATTCAAGTTCTTATGGGAAACATTAACTAAAGTCTGATCAGTAAAAAATAGAGGAAATTGGTTGAGGAGAACAGAAGTTTCAGGAAAGGTTGGGGGTGAAGAGAACTGTGCTGCAGAACAGACAGGACTGAAACTGGAACAGAAGACTCAGCAAACTTGCATGGTCTTCTGGAGCAGATGAGATGAGCAGCTCAGCTTATCTTCCCTTTTCTATCAGCAGAGGAGAAAAGATTTCACTACACCAAAATTATCTCTTGCTATAAGTACTTTGTTCCTGTAAGAGCAACTGGACACATAGCCAGGATACTCTCTACAAAGCCATCACAGAGCCATCAGCTGACCTCACTCCTTCCCTAACACAGTCACTTACCTGAATGTGACTATATCAGTGGGTTCCTGTTTCCTGAGAAGAGTCAAAACCATCTTAAGGGCCCTTTTACACACGGAGGGATAGTGAGCAGGTGACTCCATGGCCAGTGCTTGAGAAACAAAAGCATAGGGAGGAAAGTCACTTTTAAAGGGTAAAGTTCTTTCCATTTGCTAGGTGATGGATGCCCAATGAGGTAATGGCTGAAAGTACAGCAGTTGTTTTGGAGGCTGAATGCATTTCCTGCCACTTCCTTCGATAAGGTTGACCTACTGAGCTTCTCTTGACTAGCTGATGCCTTCTGTATCATCTATACTCAAAACTCCAATCTACAGAACTGAGGTAGGAAGGGATTCCCTGTCAAAGCACCAATTACGTCAACACAATCTGCCTTTTCTCTGGAATGGTGTATCTCCTTTCCTTCCTCATCAAGTAATATCTCAAGGCCAGTCAGCAATAAGGGAGGCTGTAGCTCAGGGGTGGCCAAACTGGCTTGGGAGCCTCATGCAGTTCTTTCACATATATTGTGCAGCTCCTGGCAGGACAGCTGGGGAAGTGAAGGGGAGGCATGTGTCCCCGATTGGTCTTCCCTTTCCCAGCCAGTATTCCCCTTCCTGGGTAGGCTTGAGGCGGGGGGGAGCAGAGAAAGAAAGCAACTTTAAATGCATCCTCCCCTCCCTTACCCCATATGTTTGCTTTCTTTCCACTTTCTTTTCCCCCTTTCTCTCTCTTTCTCCCCTCCCTCCCCATCTAAAGTTAAATGGGTTCTCCAAGCCCTGCTCCACCACCACACCAGCCAGGTAGTTTTGCTTGGAGAAGGCATTTGTCTCTTTAATCCCAAACCAAGCCAAGCCATCTGGTGTGGGGGGTTTGGAGAACACATAAAAAGTTAAAGTTGCTTTCTTTCCACCTCTCTCTCCCTCCTCAGTTTGGTGTAGTGGTTAAGTGCGCGGACTCTAATCTTGGAGAACGACCCTTGGCACTTACTGTGAGGGGTCCTTCTACTCTGAGGTAAGGAGGACATCTTGGGTGATTCCCACCTTCCTATCAGGGAGAGGCAGGAACAAATTTCTTTCTTCCTCTTCCTGTGTGGATTGGGAACGCCCCCTTTTCAGTTAGGGTGACTCCCAGCAGCAGTACTGGAAAAAACACTCTTTCGTAATACTAAGTAATCTGAATAACTGTAAACGAGAATAGAGTTGTTAATAGTAACAAACCAGGGAATGAGTGTGAGGATCACGGATCCCTGAAAGAACTATATACATAAACTGTAAACTCATAAATATAGAATAGATAAAAGCCACACTCAGAGTTCAGACACAGTCATAGAAATAGAGGAAAAACCTACTCGGGTGGGGCAAGATGTCCTCCTTACCTCAGAGTAGAAGGGACCCCTCACGGTAGGTGCCAAGGGTCGTTCTCCCTCTAAGGTGGAGGACATCTTGGGTACTTACATAGCAGTACCCTATGCCATGGGTGGGATATCAGTCTCCTCTCCTATGACGTGTTGTAAAACTCTCCTTCCAAATGAAGCATCTGCAGATTTGAAGATATTCAGTTTGTAGTGTCCAATGAATATTGACACAGAGGACCAGGTGGCTGCTCGAGAGACCTCTTCAACCGATGCATTTTTGGCTATGGCTGCATTGGTGGATGTGCTCCTGACTGAATGGCCTGTGACCCCTGAGGGCACTGCAAGATGAAGAGCTTTGTAAGCTTCTGTGATGCAAGATTTTATCGTATAGCTGATGGCTGACTTGGACATCTTGTGTCCCAGGTTTGGGGGAGAAATGTTAATGAACATTGCCTCAGTCTTCTTGAAATCAGCTGTTCAGATCAGATATGCCTTTAGGGTTCTGCGAACATCTAAGGTGTGCCAGGTCCTCTCTCTAGGATGTTTGGGGTCTGGACAAAATGATGGTAGGTACAGTTCCTGGGCTCTGTGAAATTCTGAGGCCACTTTTGGTACGAAAGTAGGATCTGTACGAAGCACTACTAAGTCCTTGTGAAACATACACAGGTCTGGATGCACTGATAGTGCCCTAATCTGGGATGTGAGGACACAGAACCCCCTTTGAATCAAGGCAGCACTGAGCTCAAGGCAGAGACCTGTTTTCTAAGAGTAGCCAGTTTCAGGCCTGATGCAAGCCCATCATTCAGGAACTCTAGCACTGCATGCAGAGGGTGTCGTGTGGAATCAACAGACTTCTGTCTGCACCATCTATGAAAGGCCTTCCACGTAATATTATAAATTCTGATTGTGGAGTCTTTCCTGGATGCCAAGATGGTATTTGTCACATCCGTCGAACAGCCAAGCTTCAGGTAAGAAGACCGTTCAAGCTCCATATGGTCAGTATTAGTCGATCTGGCTCTGGATGCCAGACTGGTCCCTGGATAAGCATGTCCGGAGACACCGGGATTTGCAGTGGAGGAGACTCGGATAACTGTTGCAGAGTCGAAAACCACGGGCGACGAGGCCACCATGGAGCCACCAGAAAAACTGTGGCCTTCTGTTGTCATATTTTTCTCAGGACTTTTGGTAGGATGGGAATGGGAGGGAAGGCATACAACAGTCCCCTGGGCCACTGAGTGGTCAGAGCATCCATGGCTTCCGCCCTGTTGTGATGGAACCTTGAGAAAAATCTGGGGAGTTGACTGTTCACTCCCGAAGCAAACAGGTCCACTATCGGAGTCTCGAAATGTAGTATCCAGCCAAAGGTCTTTTTCCTCAGCGCCCACTCTCCTGGGTCTATCGTTCGTCTGCTGAGCCAATCCACCTTGATGTTGTCTAAACCCTTGATATGCTCGGCTCTGAGTGAAGCTAGGTTCCTCTCCGCCCAAGTTAGAAGTATTAGAGCTTCTTTGTGGAGGACTGACGATCTGGGTCCCCCTTGATTGTTCAGATAAGACTTGGCTGAAATATTGTCTGTCCGGACTAAGATATGCTGTTTCCGAACTCTCTGTTTGAAGTGAAGGAGAGCCAGTCGTATAGCTCTGAGCTCTAGAATGTTGATGGGAAGAAGAGATTCCCTGTGGGACCAGCGCCCCTACACTGGGCTCTTGTTCAGGATCGCTCCCCAACCTTGGAGACTGGCATCCGTGAAGATCTGTGGCTCGTCTTTGTGAAAAAAATTCTTTCCTTGACGAAGATTGGAGTCCTTCATCCACCAACAAAGAGACTGACGTAGGGACAAGGGTACCTGTAGTAATGTGTCTTTGTTCTCCATGATTTGAATCTGATGGGGCGAAGAAAGATCTGTAGAGCTCTGGTGTGCAGTCTGCCCCAGTGGATAGCATCCAGATTGGAAATCAGGAGTCCCATAACCTTGGCCAAGGTCATGAGTGACGAAGTTGGATGTTCTATGATTAATCTCACCGCTTGTTTCGTCTTTGAGATCTTCTGTTCTGGTAAGTATAGAGTGGTAAGTTTGGTGTTGATCAACATCCCCAGATATTCCAATCTCTGGACTGGGTCTAGGGAGCTCTTGGCATGGTTGATCAAGAAGCCGTGCGCTTGAAAGCACTGTATTGTCTCCTGAACATCCTGAATGGCTTTCTCCTTGGACGAGGACCTGATGAGAAGATCGTCCAGGTATGGATGGACATGAATACCTTTCTTCCTGAGATGGGCTATCGGGTTGACTAATATTTTCATGAAAACCCATGGGGCAGTCACGAGGCCAAATGGCATGGCTTTGAATTGCATATGGAGATGTCCCCCACAAAACCTCAGGAACCTTCTGTGTAGTGGTAGTATGGGTACATGAAGGTACGCTTCCGTGAGAGCCAAAGAGGCTAGGTACTCTCCTGGCTGTAGGACTTCTATGATGGTTTTGAGGGTTTCCATATGGAAATGTTTCAATTTGATAAGTTTGTTTACAAATTTTAGATCCAGAATGGCCCTCCATTCGCCATTCTTCTTGGGTACCGTAAAAAAGTTTGAATAACCCCCCCGGCCTCTTTGGCCGGTGGGTACCGGTTCTACAGCTCATATGTATAAAAGATGTTGTAAGGCAGTGAACATTATTGCCCATTTTTAGGGTATTTTTGCAGTGGGGAGATGACTAATCTTTCTGGAGGAGGCTGATGAAATTCTAAGGAGTAACCCTTGGAGACTATTTCTAAGGTCCATGAGTCTGCTTGGGCCTCCAGCCACACCTCCTGGAAGTGAATCAGTCGTCCTCCCACCGGAATCTGTGCTGAGTCATGCTTTGTTATTCTTTGCATCACGGTCCTGTTTGTCAGTTCTGTTGAATGATTGTCTTCCGAAGCGTGGACCTTGGAAGTTTTTCTTGAATGGTTGGGCGGAGGGCCCCCAGGAGCCTCTTTTCTGTCCTGGTCTAGGCTTGAAGCTCGAATTGGAGGAATGAAAGGAATGAACGTGAGTATTTTTCTTGTCTAAGTGGCACAGGTTCTTTCTTTTTATCCCTAGTTTCTACCAGTATCTTGTTCAGGTGGTCACCGAAGAGCTTCTCCCCTTGGAAGGGATAGGCCATCATGAATGATTTGGACTGCAGGTCTGCGGGCCATGCACGTATCCAAATTCCTCTTTGTGCCACTACTGCAGAAGACATGGCTCTGGAACAGAAGGCGAGTGCATCTAACGAGGCATCTGTGGCAAAGGTTGACGTCTTCAGTATCCTCGTCACTCCTTCTAGTAGACGTCTATTGTCACCTGGAAGAAGTTGGATCAGTTTTCTCGTCCAGACGATTATGGCTCTGTTAGCGATAGAAGCTGTAGAGGACGCTTTGATGGCCATAGTAATGGCCTCATGTGATCTCTTATGAGCAATGTCTATCTTTTTGTTCAGGTTGTCCCTCACTGAACCGTACCCATCTTCTGAAAGGAGACCAAAGGACTGGAGCACTGCTATTGAAGCATCCACCAAAGGAACCTGCAACATCTTGTTAGCGAAAGATGGTAAATCATACAAATTTTTAACAAACCCCGGGGCTTGTCTGATAGCAGTAGGTTTGGCCCACTCAGCCTTCAGTTGTCTCTCAAAAAATTCCGGAAATGGAAATACTTTCTCTGAAAGAGCGTATCTGGGGAAAAGCTCCTCAGTGCCCTTGGTCCTATTCCTAGGATTAATGCCAGGATAGACCATTTCCTCCTGTGGAGCAGGGTCATACAAATCTAGGGCTGAGAGACACTTAGAAAGAACATACTGAAAGTCCTGCTTTAAACAAGCGTGAGGCTAGCTGTGGAACGCTAATATCTTCCACTTCCTCTTCAGAAAGGAACTCCCCTTCCTCCCTATGAGACATGTCAGGTTCTGGTGACTGTTCCCTCTCAGAGTCTGAGTGCCTTTCTCTGGGCGTCTGCTTTCTGGCCACTTTTGTTGGCCAGTGACCCCTCATTTCCCTGTGTCTAGGGGATTCAGTGGGAGGAAGTACAGGGGAAGTCATACAGGAGGAGTGAAACTCCTCCCTCATGGATTGCCTCATAGAAGCGAAAAAATCAATGGGATCGGGAGTACCAGCCAAACGGAGTACGTTACCCAACTGATGCCTTCTAAGATCTTCCGGGCTTGCTGTACTCTGTGTTGGATAGGTGCCGATGCCTCCTGCCTGGAGGTTGGCATCCTGGAGCTGGATTGGCAATGGCGTGGCTTGGGTGAACGCAGGAGTGCTTCCCGCCAAAATTGCCACCTCAACATGGCTGCCGTCGCCAGCCCCTGCTCTGGGCCCACAGCCTTCCACGCCGTCCTCCTGATGAGGGTGCTTACGGCATGATCTTCAGTCAAAGGAAAATAATTCAAAAGGAGCTGTGCAGTCTGTTAACCAGGCCACTTTAACTGGCTCTCTTTGAGTAAAAAGTAAGGAAATGAAATGACAGGAATAACAGAGGAAGAATAAAGAGTGAAAATTAACAGGAAAATAGTATTAAATTTAGTAAAGATCCTATAATAGTTAAGCTAGCAGTTGGAGGCAAGGCCTTCAATGACCTCTCCCTGTAGAGGCAGGATAAGAACTGGAGAGGGGGCGTTCCCAATCCACACAGGAAGAGGAAGAAAGAAATTTGTTCCTACCTCTCCCTGATAGGATGGTGGGAATCACCCAAGATGTCCTCCGCCTCAGAAGGAGAACTGGGTTTGATTCCCCACTCCTCCACTTGCACCTGCTGGATGACCTTGGGCAAGCCATAGTTCTGGCACAGCTGTTCTTGGAAAAGAGCAGTTTCTGTCAGAGCTCTCCTAGCCCCACCTACCTCACAGGATGTCTGTTGTGGGGAGGGGAACGGAAAGGAGTTTGTAAGCTGCTCTGAAACTCCTTTGGGTAGTGAAGGGTGGGGTATAAATCTAATCTCTTCATTTATTTGCTTTCTTTCCACATTTCTCTCTCTCTCTTTTCCCCCTTCCTCTCTCCCTCCCCATTTATTAGCTTTCTTTCCACCTCTTTCTTTTCACCTTTCTCTTTCTCACTTTCTTTCTCTTCTTTCTTTCCTCCCCCTCCCTCATCTATTTGATTTCTTTTTCTCTCTTCCTTCCCCCCTCCCCATCTATTTGCTCTTTGTTTCTGTTTCTCTCTCTTTCTACTTCTCTTTCCACCTCTTCCATTCTTTCCACATTTCTCTTTCTCCCTCCCTCCCTTCCTCTCCTCCCTTTCTCTCTTTCTATTTCTCTCTCTTCCTCCCTCCCCATTTATTTGTTTCTTTGTTTTTCTCTCTTTCCCCCTTCCTTCCTTCCTCCCTCCCTCCCCCATCTATTTGCTTTCTTTCTACCTTTCTTTTTCTCTCTTTCTCCCTTCCTTTTTCGCTCTTCCTTCCTTCCCCCTCCCTCCCCATCTATTTGCTTTTTTTGTTTCTATCACTTTCTTTTCACCTCTTTCTCTCTCTCTGACACAAATAAATATTATTATCAAGATCTGTTTTATCCCTTTTGTTTTTATTTTTGGTAGTCTCATTTAATGTTAATGAAAAGCAAATTTGCATATTTTCCAATACAAGTATGTGTGTAATATTCATCCATGTCTTGTGGCTCTCAAACATCTGAAATTTATTTTATGTAGCTCTTACGTCAAGCAAGTTTGGCCACCCCTGTTGTAGCTAAATAACAGACAGGACAGCAAAATCCTTTGCAAAGAAGCTGTGATATTGGACTTGATGCAGTAGTAGCTTCTTAGGCCTATAAGGAACACAGATGCACAACGTGCAGGTTTGGCTCTTACATGCAATGGTTTCTAATGTCTTGATATCTACTTCTGGAAGCTCCCAAACCTTATCCAGCAAGCTGCCTATTGACAGATCATTCAGCTTGGCTCGGGCTTCAAATTCATAAAGCAGCAGCAGTGTGTCTGTTCGATCTTTGGGGAAATCACCTGTGGAGAAGAAAGAGCCATATTTTGGCTGCTCTTCTAAATCAGCTTGTACAGTTGTGAGAGAAATGTAGCTTGGCCAGAATCAAGGGCTCCAAGCCACATACTATATGGGCAATCGGAAAAGAGAAACCTACAGGGGTACGGACTTTGCTGAACCTGTTTGTGCACAAGCTTTGGACTGATACATAGCTTTTTCATCAGCATAGCTTGCCCTACTAGAAAGTAGAAAATAAGGAGACCACCTGTCAGCAGATTCTGGTTATTGTTAAAGGCCAAAAAGGAGGTTTATGTCTGTATACATATTCAAAGGTTGGTAGCTTGCACTGCACAGGGAAATACACTTAACACATTTTACACTGCAGACACATCTACCTTACATGGCCATGCAAGAGCAAAGCCAAAGGCCAGAAGCTTATTAGCTAGCAGTAAGCTACCAAGCTTTCCCAACATCACTGTACTTTCTCGTCTGTCTCTGTCACATCTGCAGTCCTGGTTCTGCTGTCTCAGTAGCTACAATTAATGTTGACAGCAACTACAGATTCAACAATGTAAAATACATTAAAAATAAATTTTAATCGGATCTCTCTCTTCTGCAGAATGTACTGGCATTTGCGCCAATTACATTGCATTTGATTCAGTCTAGAGCAAGCTGCTTAATTCCAGCATCACTCTTCCATTTTCAGGGAAGCTCCAGGGCACAGGTAGTGCCAAAGACTTCACGGAAGAGGCAGCAGGCTTCTAAAACCATTCTAGTGTCTCCTGTCTGAAGCAGCCTTTTATCCCCAACAGCACCTCACCCGCAGGTGCAATTCTAAAGAGAATTATTTCAGAAGTATGCTGTCTCGGATTCACTGCTGGCAGCTTCTTTCCAAATGTCTCAGGGTCAAACTTTTGATAGTCACTCCTTCTCTCCCATGACTGCCTTTCTTTTCTCTTCCTCCACCTCCTATGAGATAGCTGTTGCAAACAGCAACTATAAGCAGTGTAATTACAAGACAACACTACTGGCAGCCCCATGTGCACTACTGATTAAACTCAGTGAAGGGAAACTTACTTCTGAGTAATTGTGTCTAGAATCAGGCTCTTGATCAAAACTCTCTATACAATAATCATTCTACACCCTTCCCTCCGATCATTCTTCCTTCCAAGCTTCAAACATCTTTGTTCCCACAGAAGACTCCATCCCCATCCTTAGCAAGGCAAAAGGGACTCTTCAATTCCTAAGCCTGTATGTGGCTCAATCAGCAGCACCTCTGGTTGCAGAATTTCTGGCTCACCTGTTTGCTTCAGAACCTTCCAGATCTCCCTGCACGACTGGATGTGTTTAAGAGCCTGAGTTAGCAATTCAGTCTGCTTTTGGAAATGAATACACATTGTTAAAATATTTGCTTTCCAGGAAGACTCTCCTAATGCCATGTATACATAATAAGCCCCACCTTTAAGTAATCAATGCCCATCGTATTTCTTTGATTTTGAAATGCAGTTGCAACACACCAAATAATGAGAGTAGAAGGGATTGCAAAATAAAATGGGAAGAGCTAGGAGATGAGTAGGCACTTCTAGAGATGGCCTAGAGTTACCCAAGTATTATTCCAGATTAATTTTAAGCAGGATGCGGGCAATTGTCATCTCCACATGGAATCAAATCACATGAACTCCAAGTTGCATTAACTCACTAAAGCCACAAAACCGAGTAGCGTCAGAGTCTCACTCCATCCAAACTCTACCTGATCTGTAGGCAACAAATTGTTGCGGCCCATGTCCAGATCAACGGCAGCAGCCATGAGCAGGCAGGTTCTCTGGGCAAGCAGGACAGCTTTATCAGGTGGACAGAACTGGGAGAACTACAACCAAAAACGTGAATGGAAGTGAAAATTCTGCCCATTACAACAGCAGAAAATTGGTGGTTTTGGTTTTTCCTTTTATTTAAAAGCCTGTGGCTTTGAGTTTATTTAGATATTTTGCTCCAATGAATCCATGGCTTTCTTTCCCCCTCACCCACCTTGTTTGTGGAGTCTAAATTATTCCTATTGCTGCCACTGGAGCTGAGCTGACCCTCAAAGGCTTCTGTGAATGTCCCTATCTGAACAGTGGCTTTGTAAGCTGAGGGGAACAAAGTGCTACAGGGGCATGCTTGTGCTCTTTCCAGTATTTTTTTTTCATTATCTGGCTTCCAAAAAGCTCTCTCTCCTTTTCTTATGGACAATCAATAATTATTCATGCTTTGAGTAAAACTGAAATGAGTTCAGCTGGTTCTTGTGTACATGGGCATGAAGTAAGCATGCAAGCAGTGTCCTTTACTTTCAAGCATGTTCTAGCATGAAAAGAGCCATCATGGGCTCAGATCATTGGTCTATTAAGTTTAGTACTGCCTTTTCTGATTGGCAGCTATTCTCCAGCATCTCAGATAAAAGTCTTTCACATCCCTATCTGATTCTTTTAACTAGAGATGCTGGGAACTGAACAAGTGCTCTACTTTTGAGCCATAATCCTACCCTCAAAAAAATAAAGGGAACAGAGCAAGGATCCATCTAGTCCAGTATTCTGTTGAATACACATGAGTCCATGAAGCTGCTTTAACTGAGTCAGGCCACTGGTCTGTCTCAGGTACAGGTCTTTCATATCACCTACTACCTGATTAATTTAACTGGAAATGGTGGGAATTGAACCTGGGACCTTTTGCATGCAAGACAGATGTTTCAAAGTGTGTTATTTCTAGCTTTATATTGCTGTTTTTTATTCTGTTGTAAGCTGCCTTGAGCCTGCCATGGCTGGGAGGGCGGGGTATAAATGTAATAAATAAATAAATGAAACACTCTCAGTCTTTGAACAAACTTTAAATTTTCATATTAACATCTAATTTACAGAGCTCTCTCAGTCTTGGTCTTTCTCTCATTCTGCTCAGGCCCAACTGAGGAGAAACAGATTGTGACTCTCAGTCTTTGAACAAACTTTAAACTTCATATTAACAACTAGTTTACAGAGCTCTCTCAGTCTTGGTCTTTCTCTCATTCTGCTCAGGCCTAACTGAGGAGAAACAGTGACTTTGCACTTGCCTATTCCTGGCTCCTCCCAGGAACTACAATATAATAATTTTTCCCCATATTGCTACATCCCTTTTCTGTTTAAAGAGCAAAAGTTAAATACATTATACATAATTTTGAGGTGTCCTAGTTTCTTAATTACAAGCCCACTTTCAAGTATATTTAAGTTCTGGTGTGACCTCTGCCTACTGTCCTCCTATTTCCCTCCCTCTCTCTCTCTCTGCATGTCTTTGGTGCAGTCTCTTATTTTTGCTACCTCTGAGCTGGACTGATCTCCTAAGTTTCTCTGTGTCTGTCCACATGTGGCTCACACTCCCTTCATATCCATGCATGCTGGTCTCTCAACTGGTTGTTGATGTGCCTTTCATCACAGTCTGTGCCTTTGTTGACTGCTTCTGTAGTTCTCGCTAGGAGTCTTCAGTTCCTTCTCAGTGCTCCACCATTATCCAGTTGCACCTGGTATGATCATTGGTTTACTGGCAGTATTGCTGTTGCTTTGTACCAGATTTTATCTTGTTTTGTTAATGGTTGAATTTTCACTGTGGTTCTTGGTTGTAGGTCAGGAAGATCTCTGGCTGGCTGACTGTAATACATGTTGGTGAGAGCTCCTAAGTTCACCAAGTGTGTCCCAGTAAACCCTGGCTGTAGTAATTTCCCACTTGTGGGTAAAAGGGTCTTGATTTTTCTTTTCATTACCCATTGTGCTAGATTTGAGTTTAGGCCCTGAGGTGGAGTGTTTCTGTGATCTAAATCCTGTCAGCCTCTCCAAGGCCTATGTCAATCTGTTCTGAAATACTTCAGGAACCAGACTGATACCCATTGGCATTCTCAGTCAATGGTACATCCTGAAAGGTGTGGCAAATGTTGTCAAATAACTGGATTCTTCATCCATCTGAATATGCCAGAACTTGTTTATTACATTCCAAACAGAAAACAGTCATGTCTTTGACAAATCTGGCAAGATGTAATCATTAGTGGGTCGGGGAAAATGGGTTCTTTTAAGTGCTTTCTTCAAGGGCTTTGCATCTATGTATATCCTTAATTTATTGGATGGCTTCCTCATCACCATCATACTGCTTATCCAATCTGTGCTTTCTATACTGGTTGTATTATTCTATCTCTGTAAACTTTGCAGTTCATCCTCCAGAAGCTATACCAGAGCCACTGGTGCTTTTCTCTTTGGTAACTTAAGGGGCTTCACATTGGTGTCAATCTCAATTTTATAAACACTCTCAAGTTGTCCATCTCCTTTGAATGCCCCACTGAATTCATCTGTAGACTCCATGTTCCTTGTTCTACTGACTCTTCTGTCTTTCCACTGTCCACTTTTAATATGCTGTGATATTGTCCCTTTATCAGCTTTATAGCTTGTGCTGCTGTGATGTGTAACAGTGGTATAGTGTCTGATCCTGTACAACCACAAACTCTACCATGTATTGCTATGCTTGTTCTTGTGTTAGTAATTTTGAGTTTACATTTTCTCACTACCTTCAATGTAGAGTTGCTATACATAATTTACACCTGGTTGGTTTCTTCCAGTGGAATGCTGGGATTCACTAGATACCTTAGGACGGTGTTACAACTGGCACCATAATCTAATTAGAATTGTATAATTTTATCCCCCAGAACCATGCCTGCATACAAGTGTTTCTGGTGTCTTGCTGAGTTTTTCTGTACTGCATTTATCACTAGATCTGCTGCCCAAAACATACTTTTACTATCACTCTCCATATTCACCATATGGACTCTAGATTTGGGCTTGTTTTGTTTGGAGAGACAATTGGAGGCAAAGTGGTTCAATATGTCACATTTATGGCATGTTTTTCCATAAGCTGGGCATCTCTCTTTTTGGCTTGTGAGTTTACTTCCACAGTATTTGCATTGTTCAGTGGCATTCACTGGTGTTCTTGTGTTTGGTTTCTCCCTCAGTCTCCATTGGAGTTTATGTACTAGCTCAATTATCTGTTCCTCCAAGGTTCTAGTCCTGTCTTTAGACAACTCAGTAGCCCTGCATATTTTCAAACTTTTCTCTAAGGACAAACTGGTTTCCTTCAGCAGTCTCTTGTATTTGACTCGAGTCTCCTGAATTCCAGACACTATCCTCTCGCTTATCAGTGAGCCTTTAATATCTGCAAAGTTGCAGCTGGTTGCTAAGATTTTCAAATTTGTATTATGCTCAGCAATGCATTCCTCCATTGCTTGATTCTATGTAAAAAAATTGTACCTTTCTGCTGTTTCATTCTTTCTGGGGTTGCAGTGGGCATCAAAACAGGCCAATATTGTAGTTAGATTACATTGTGCTTGGAGAATATTTGCACACAATGGGTGTTTCTGCATGCATTCCCCCCCCCCAATGTTTCTCTGTACCCCAGCCTGTTTGCCTTTAATCCGGCTTCAGTGCTCTCAATTCTGCACCTATGGGTTCCTCCCCTGGAATTTCAAATTATCTAGATTATTTGTTCTGCACTACTCTGTGTAAACACAGTAGAATCCGAAAGCTGTATCCATTTTTCCATTGGTTCTATTGACAACATGCTAGGTGGCGCCGATGTCTCAGTGGCAAATGCACAAACATTCAGGGCGATTAACTCCAATGTAGGCATTTTGGATTGGTCAGTTTGGTGAATGTTTTTAAATTAGCATGCATACCCCTTCATTTTTGTGTGCTGCGGGAGCATGTACTGTGGTGAAGTCCATGCAAGGTAATTGTGATGGTGGTTGAGATGGGTCCCCTGCACGTTTTCATGGCATCGGTGGATCTTGTTCTGCGCATTTTCAGAAATATTCTTGGTCTTGCACCCACTGAATTGAGGGGTGCACAATCGAGTGTTAACACGGAACGGCAATGCACCTTCTGACCATAGCTAGGAGAGTGAAAGGGCAATGTTCCTCTCTAACTGGTCTTATCACTCCCTTTTGATGCCCTAACAAGATGCAGTCTAAGCATTGGCTGCAGAAACAGCTTGTGTCCAAAGTCTTTGCCCAGTGGATAAACAGGTTTCTTACCTGTAACTGCTGATCTTCGAGTGGATCGATCAGCATTGTAGCAAGCTCTTTAACGGATTCTCGCGCCCAGTCCCTCGGGCATGCGCAGGAACCCCACCACACATGCCCAGAGGGGTGGGCGTGGACATCCCGCCAGTTCCTTCAAACCGCCGCAAATCAACCCCTATGGAAAATGTAGAAGCTGACAGCAGCAGGGAAGGAGGGCGGGTGGTGTGAATGCACAGATGACCACTCGAAGATCACCAGTTGCAAGTAAGCAACCTGTTTATCTTTGATGTGGTCTTTGTGCTTCACACCCATGGGAGATTAGCGAGCAGTGGCCTACCTGGAGGAGGGTGCTGGCAGGTCCTTTACTGCGTAGCCGAAGATAGAATGCGACGTCCCATGTTGGTATTAGAGTTCTTACAGACGTCTAGGGCGTAGTGCCTGATGAAGGTGTTAGGCGTGGCCCACGTAGCGGCTTTGCAGATGTCCGTCAGGGGCACTCCCTGGAGGAAAGCAGTGGAAGCAGCAACAGCTCGGGTTGAATGGGCCTGGATCGGGCCAGGCAATGGCTGTTTCGCAATCAGGTAGCAGAGGCGCATGAGCCCGACAATCCACCTTGAGAGGCGCTGAGCCGTGATGCGAGTCCCCAGCCTTGCTGGTGCGTATGAGACGAACAGTTGGGAGTCACGTCTCACTGGGCGGGTTCTGTACAGGTAGAACAGGAGCGCACACTTCACATCTAAGGTGTGTAACAGTCTGTCCTCTGAGGATGTAGGAGCTGGGATGAAATCCGGGAGGAAGACCTCTGC